TGGTCACCTCCCTGTGACTCTTCTGTAAGGGGATGTCCAGTTGCCTACAGATGGACGTTGGGTCTTCACTCTGCACTCCCCCTCATTCACAATGATAAGGTTTTTTTGTTCTTTGATGCTTGATACCTGATCCCATTGAACCTCGTGATCACACAGGCTGGTGTGCTTCTTCCATGTGGGCTTTGTTGCTTCTGAGCTAGATGGGCGCTTGTTTACCTTCAATACCCCAGACACTACATCTTTTGATATCCGGGCACCATCAGTTTTCTTTACCACATTTGCTTATGCACCTGCTTTGTCTTTAGTGATCGTGTCGGGAATGTGACCATCAAGGAATGCCAGTTTAATAGAACGAATTGTTCTTGCATTGAGGGTGTACTTGAATAGAGGCCCAATGTCCATCTGCTACCTTAATACTAAACCTATAGATATATGCACATAGATCTATTTCCCTATCATTATATGTAAATATATTTACATGTGTACATGCCTGTATTTAGACTGCTATAAATGCCCTGTGCCTCCTAGTTCTTTCCTCTTATTTCCTTTTACTTTCCTCTTGGCCCACTATCATGCTCAGCCTTCAATTGTGTGTCAGTAATTCCTCTGGGTTACATTGCCTTTGATCTAGACCTATCAGGCCTCTTACACCCTCCTCGCCATCGATTTTAGATCACTTGTTCCCTTGTCCCTGGGTTGGTTAACCCACTTCCTTTTCCCTCCCTTCTCGTCTCCCATGTCTCCCCCCATGTCCTCCTCTTCAGTCCCGTTGTTTTCTCTACCAGATTGTTTATCCTGCCCATCCCATCTAGATAAGACCTACAGAGATAATATGTACACAAAACAAGACTGAGCAAAACAAAGCAACAACAAAAACCAATTACAAAAAGAAAAGCCTGTAAATAGTTCAAGGTCTGTTTGTTGACCTTTAGGAGTGTTTTCTGGCCATGTCTGATGGGGTGCCATGCCGTGGCCTCAAAGTCTATTTTTGGTATTCCCTGGGGACTTCATTGCTCTGTTCCCCTTGCTGTTGTGTTTCACACCCTTAGTGTTTTGCCTCAGTGTGGTGGGGTCAGATCGGGTGCAACTCCTGCACTGTGTCTCCAGTGTTGTCCCCCGTAGCACGATGGGTCAGTGAGCGACGTAGGGTCTTGTAGTGGATCCGCCCCTATGGTCCTCTCTCTGCTTTGGCTGCTCTGGGTGGGAATATCATCCTCAGGGCTTGGTGGGCCAAGATGTGTTCCACTTTCTTTTTCCTTCCATTTTCTCCTGTGTGCTCTGATCAGATGTCCCTTTCTCTGAGCTGTAGCTTCAGTGCTGCCTTCTGACGTGAATCTGTGTGGAGGGGGTGCTGCCCATGTAGTTGGGATTGGGGCTGGCACTTCAGACTTTTCTATTGGTTCCCTGCTGCATGCTGGTATGTTGGATTCATGTCTTGGAGCACCAGATTGAGAGAATTTTACTGTCCCAGATTCACTTACTCATGCCTGGCCACTCAAATGATAGTAAACTCTTGGAGGTTTGAGTCCCCCGGAAGAAAGGCCTGATGATCTACTTTTGAGAAAAAATCACCCACTGTAAACCCTCTGGTGGTTTTACTCCGACACACTGGGTTGTCCTGAATTGGAATTGGTGACCTGGATCTTCTTGGGTTGAGGGTAGTGGAGTGGTGGAGATCTTTATGTGGCTAATCACTTGTATCTAGAGGCTTTTAAGATCTGTTGGGGGTTTCCACAGTAAGTGAATTGTAAGAAGGCTGGTGCTGGATCTATATAGATGTCTTAGTAACATATTTCCGAGGGGCAACTAATCAATTTTGGTATTTTGAGATGACTTTTCAGAAGACTTGGAAGCTTGAGTCATTAAATGAAGTAGTGGTTGCCATTCTAAAAGGGAGTTGGAGAGAAGAACATCATAGCAAAATGGGACATGCACAAAGACCTAGATGCACAGATGTGTTCTGCGAACCTCAAGTGTTTGTATGCTTGGAGTTTTATGTGCCTTTAGATGATGAGTCTGGAGTAGAAGGTCTTTGAGGACAGTTTATCAGTAATGTAGTTTATATGATGAAATCTAGAGTTTAGAAATTCACTCTGGTAGTTTTGTAAAAGACCGCTGATTGAGATAGAAGATTGGTGGGTTTGGAACCAGATGAGAAATGTTGAGGGCTTGAATTAAAGCATTGCTAATGGGATTGAGAAAATATTGTGATAGATACTGGGAAGTAATTGTATTAGGATTTAATGACATTTCAGATGAGAAAGATAAAACTCAAGGATGGGTAGGGTTTTGCTCAGGAAACAGCTCCTAGTACTTGATAGCTTGATAGAACATATTTTATATATATATATATATTTTTTTTTTTTTTTCCTCCAGATTATATTTTTTTAAAAACCTGCCCAGCGTAAGTTGAAGAGAATTGTTGGAATCTGGTCCAACTAATAGCAACCATATGTACAACAGAATGAAACACTGACTGGTCTTACTCCATCCTCACAATTGTCCCTGTGACTGAGCCCATTGTGGCAGCCACTATGTCAGTCCATCTCCTTGAGGGCCTTCTTCCTCTTTGCTGCCGCTCCACTTTAACAAGGAGTCCTGTTAAAGTGGTTACCCATTGGGGTCAGCAGTTCGAAACCACCCCCTGGTCCTCAGGAGAAAGACATGGCTTCTATTCCTGTTAGGAGTTAGAGTCTCAGAAACCAACAGGAGCTGTTCTAACCTGCCCTATGTCACCATGATTCAGAATGGACTTGACAGTGAACTTGCACCACTTTATCAAGCATGATGTCCTACAGGGACTGGTCTCTCCTGACAATGTGTCCAAAGTATTTAAGATGAAGTCCTTGCCCCTGGCCCTTATTCTAAGACAGATCAGTTTGTCATTTTTAGTAGTCCCTGGTACTTTCAGTATTATTTAGCACCACAGTTCAAACACATTGATTTTTCTTAGGTCTTCCTTAATCTGTGTCCAACTTTAACATACACGAGGCAATTGAAAATACCATGGTTTGGGTCAGGCCCACATTAGTCCTCAGAGTCATCGCTTTTCAATACTCTAAAGAGGTCTTGTGCAGCAGATTGACCTAGTTTGACTGCTGCTTCCTTGAGCATTGGTTGTGGATCCAAACAAGACAAAATTCTTGATAACTTGAACTTTTCTCCATTTATAATGATGTTATTTATTGGTCCAATTGTGAGGAGTGGGAATTATTGATTGTGGTTACTCAACTCTGAGATGAAGCTTGCTTTGCACGTTGCCTTGGCAGAGGGAAAGAGCCTTGCATGGCTCTTAAAACTGCCCAATAACGACACATTTCCGCTTTGCTCATATTTAATTGGCAAAAGTGTATTAGTTACATGGCCACACTGCACTTTAAGAAACCAGGAAGATGAAATTTTACTACATTCCCAGATGGAGACATGGAAATATTTAGTGGACAGCTTAGTGACTGTCAAAACTAGTAGCTGGTTTTTGTGTTGGGATAATTTGATGGTATCTTAAACTGAATTAGGAAGTATAAGACAAATGGGAGGATTTGGTGAGAGAAAGATTATGAATTTTCTTTTGGATCGTAATAAGTTAAGGTTGGGCCCTTGTGACAATGAAGGTGGCGAATTCCAGCAGACACTTGGATTTTGGGAGCCTGGAGCGCAGGAGAGGCTTAAATTATAGATTTGGTAATGTAAAGACTGAATTAAATCTTGGTGTGGAAGTGTTTTCCTCAGCAGTAATACATGAAGTGCTTTGTTTGACTTAGCTGCTGAGAAAAGGTGGATTGTTGGTGAGGGCTGGAGTGAAATTTGAATTAACCTTAGACAAAAATGAGTTGGGTTGGAAAGGTGGAGTTTTTAACTTATTTTTGCAATGTTTGGCTAATGTTATAACCATGTACAAATATATTTGACCACTATTAATGTGACCCTCATATCATTTACAGATGGATTTTTGTACAGGAAAAGAATTTTAAAATAACTGCTATTTGGTGTTCTGAATTAGTAGTACATTGTACTGGTTTTAAGTCTTGATTATTTGAATGATTAAGCTTACATGAGATTTGAAGTTAGATTAGGTGATTAGACTTCCAACTTTGTCTTTACTAACTAGTTCTGGAACTGTGGCAAGCTACCTCTATTTTTTAAACAAAATGATTGAAATTTGAAAAAGCACAATGTCTTAAGGGCGTGTATATTTTTGCTACAGATTAAATATATGGTTTAGCTTGGGTCCTTTTCTTGCTAAAGACAATTAGAGGTTTTTGTAGAAAGTAATTATAAACAGGGTGAAATGAAAGTATGATTACTAAGTCTATAAAGATAGCTAATTTTGGAATCCTTAGGATGGATTCATAATAAGGAAAGTAGTTTCCTTCTGGGCTCTCTGTCAGAAGCCTTTTTGCTTATAGACCTGCTTAGATGGGCTCAAATAGGACTATTAAGAGTCTCTGCTCTTTAATCATTACAACAGGCAAAGTTTTGTATAATCACGTTTCTGCCTAACCTGAAGCAATCTGGTATGTGGAAAAGATCTTGATTTTAAATCTTGTTATCAGAATTATATAGTGATTTAAATGCCAGGGAATCACATTAGGAAGGGTGGGAAGTGGTTAGAAACCATATTCTTGAGGATTGGGGCTTTTATAAAGAAATTTTGCTTATTTATGATGATTCATTAGCTCTAACATCTTTGGTCAGTTTTCATATTTCATTCAAATTAAGAATTTGAGTTTCAAATCTTTACAAATTAGGCTATAAGCTTGCCTAGATTGTCTTTCATTTTTGCAGACAAATCACCATGAAATGACTGTTGATCTTTATCTGTATCATAGCTTAAAGTTCTTGTTTTATTGTGCAAGATTATGTAAAGATGTAAAAAAGAAATGTTAAATGAAAATGACAAAGCCAAACAAATGTCTATTTAGCCCAATTTTTCCTTGTTTTTTTTTTATCTTGCAGCAACGCACCTCTTGCTTTTTCTTCCAAAGTATGTTATATTAAGTTTCGTGATCCATCAAGTGTTGGTGTGGCCCAGCATCTCACTAACACGGTTTTTATTGACAGAGCTCTGATAGTAGTCCCTTGTGCAGAAGGTTAGTATCACACGTTTTTCCTTCTGTTTTGATCTCTGTCCTGTCTGTCATTTACCTTTGGCTTTCCCAGCAATTGGCAAGTAAGAGTAGACATGTATGTGTTAAAACAACTATGCAGTTTGGAAAAGGAAAGGCTTTTTGTTTTATATATTAGTCGTTAATTTATTACTTAGGTATATTGGAAATTTTATCACTAAAGATTTAAAGTGAATACATTATGTAGCTTCTATGATTTACTTTGGCTTTCTGTAGTCTGTGCAAATGAGAAATGAAAGCTTTCTGTTTCTTTTTAAGTTGTAAAGGAAGTGTTCTTGAATTAAGTTGAGAAGGGAAATTATTTTGAATGCATAAAAGTAAGTGCTTGTGTATACAATATGCTACATAAATAAAAAACAATATACACATTTTGCCATATTGAGGCTGTGATACTACTATTTATGTTTAAGAGAAATATACTTATAATTTATATTTTAAATAGCCTCAAGGTAATGTATCTTAATAAGTACAGTGAGACCATTATTTCATATTTAATATAATTGTTTACTATGTAACCAGAAGTTTGCTATTTTCTTCTGCCAATTTTTCTTTGTATTTGAAAAAATTCATGGAAAGCAATTTTCCAAAATCTCTTATCAACAAGTAGTTGTTGGAGATAGGAAGAAGCCTAAATTTTATGTCTTAAATGGCTTTAAGAGCTAATAATTACTAGTTTATTTTTTAGTGACTTCTATTTACAGAGTCATTCATATGTAATAAGCTGTGCTGAATTTGACAGGTCTGGTGTGTAGTTAACTTCTATTCAGATCACCAACTATGGCATGTGTATTACATGAATTTTAAAGTTGAGTTATTGTGATATAAATATCTTTAAAATGGTAACTTTTATGATATAAAAGTTTATCTGGAACAGTTCAATGAAATTTATCTGTGATGTTTTTAAGCCCTTTTTTAGAAAACAGCTTAAAATTTAAAATAATGTATTATAAAAAGTTAGCTGCCGTTTCAGGATTTTTATGCTTATTTCAGAATGTCTATTCTGGGATTTCAAAAATATTAAAATTAAATACAATGAGTATAATTCTGATATTTTTGATATCCTAGAATAAGACATTGTAGATTTTTTCAGGTAAATTTGAAAGGTTTTTCCCTTGCCTGTAATAGGGATGGGATTAAGAGAACAAAATTAGATTATAGTTAATTATTTCCCAAATATATCTTGATCTACTGATCTATATGGGGGCAGTCAACCCTTAATGAAAAAGTTGAGTGGGAAAGGAAGTAATGAGTGGTTTAATCCGTTGTAACTTGTAGTGGAATTTAATATGAGTAAACTAAAAGGGGGAAAAAAATCAATAGAATAAGTTAAGTTGGAAGTGAATTATATCCCCAAACAATAATCAGGAAAGTAATTAAATATACCACAAATGGTGCAAAATTATGTTATGTTAACTACTGAGTTGCTAAGAAGAATTTATCAGTGTTGTTGGTTTAAATTTTGCTGAATTACCAAATAATTTTTCATATAAATATACTTATGTGTATATCTTTGACCTTGATTTGTCATAAAACTCCAAGGTTATAGGCATGGAGTTAATTTGGTAGTAATGAATTAAATTGCACTCTAGTATGTATTTTTAATACCATTTGGATATGAAAATCTTACGCATATTTTTATTGCAATTTAATTAAAAGTAAGTATGTTAGAACTCTAACCTATAAAACCAACTCGGTGCCATCGAGTCAGTGCCGTCCCATAGCGACCCTATAAAGCCATAGGTATTTGAAAAACATTCAGTTAGTACACTTTACAGTAAACTGAATTAGAGAGATGGAGATATGAAACCTGAAGAATTTCCCAGTGAGGTGACAAAAATCTGACCATGTGTTACAAGTAAAGAAACCAAACATTGGCTGTCCTAGAAGAGAGAGCAGTGTGATCTGGAGCTGACTAGTGAACAGAAGTGTTCCGCTGGAGCAAGTTCTCCGGCTGATGTTCTGTGTGGCTGCAAGCAGTCTTCTGTTAACGTCCCTGACTGCATTACTTTCTTGATGTTGTAGAAACAGGATTCTGACAGAAACGAAAAAACCACAAACTTGGGTCTAAGAAAAACATTTTCGGTTTCCTTTGTCTTGTAGACAGTAATGTGAGAAAAGCTGTAAAAGTAATGTTTGATGTATAAAAGTTTCATACATATTCAGCATTAGCTATTAACTAAACATGCCATTTCAAAATAAAATATGCTTTCTTTTTACTCGTCCAAATGTGACCTCTTTTTTTCCCCTTTTTGTTGTGTACATCTCAGATTTCTTTGATAAATGTTAACATTTAGAACAAGATAAGGTGAAACATAACAAGGGTGTCAGCCTAATCATCAGTCATAACTTTATGTCCACATTTTCTGGTAGATGGATTTTGACTATTAATTTGGTTTTGTATGTTTTCTCTATGTGATATTTGTGCATTATTAGATGACTAGACTGGCCAAGGCAGACCTGTTACACTTGCCTGAGTTAGGCATTGTTTGCCATGCCACTAAACCTGCCGCCAAGTGAAACCTTCATTGGGGAAATGAGATCGGAGTCTGAACCGCAGAAGATGGACGCCCTGTCTCTGTTTTTTATTGTTTTACTTTAATTTCATTTCTTTTCCTTTATTTTGTCCCCCCCCTTTTTTGTTTTTGTTTTTGTTTTGTTAAATCTCTTTCACTTTAACTTGTGAGCTGGTTTTTCCAGTTCTTTGTAAATGATATTCCATTTAAGGTTCATAACATTGTGTTGCAGATTATATTGAGAGATGATTAGCAGAGCTCAACCTTCAGATAAAATAAATTTTCATGTAGCAAATTAGAGGACACTGTTGTGAAGCTCAGTGTGAGTCTTAATTGGTGTTTATCATAAAGACCGATCAGGTACATTTTGTTCTTGAAATATCAAAACACTGGTAAGAATCCTAGGAACACTTTTGAACTTAATGAAGCATTTTTGTAGTTTACACCCCTATGTGTTTGCATCTGTCAGGAAAATCATCTTAAAAGCTCCTCATTTTTATCCTTCCCCTTAGAATTTTAAGGATAAACAATAATCAAGGAAAGTAAGAAACTTTTATATATATATATCACAGTATATACTTATATCTTGAGCGTAGGAGAAGAGTCTTTTGTCTATAAGAATGCATTTCATTAACTTGGGAAGATTTTGAGCTGCTTATTTGGGGAATGGATATTTGAGGAGCTGTGATTTACTTGTGTGTGTGTGTATTGCTTAAATCTTTCGTTGACACATTTTCAGGTTACTAGTTTCTGAATGGATTCTGAGATTTGGATTAGTACTATCATACTGAGGGATTTGATTTTTATCTAAGTTTTCTTTGAGGAGTATAGTTTAGGAAAAATGCTAAAGACTAACTTACATAATTTCTATCCTCTGATAGTCTCATAGTATTTAGAGATAAATAGACTTGTACCTTAGAAATTAGCAGTGGAAATTATGTTTCTGTTTTTAAGCACCTTTAATTGTAATGAGAATAAGAAAAAGGTGTTACTGTGTTTACTTAAAGATTTAAATAGTTGATCACTACCACCACAAGAGGCAAACAGGTCTACTCTTTCAGTTATGAAAGCCATAGCTGAAAGACTAGAATATTAAGAAATCAACTTTTGGCTTGTTTTAAATAATCATTTTCTTTGTCCTATAGATACTTTTGTTTATTAATTGAGAAGTAATACTAAATTTGTAGCATTTCTAGATTGGAACTCTTAATTTTTTTTTTTTAGGTACTGTTTATTAGGGTAGTAAAACATAGGGTGGTTAGCACTCAAGGACCTTAGTTGATTTATCAAATTTGTACTTAAGGAAGAATACTTTTTTATAATGGCTAATCAGTTCTGATTTAAATAGGTATATAGAGATATATGCTAATGTTAGTTACTAATTAAACAAATTGTTAATTGATGTCTTCAGTAAGGTCTACCTCTTTATGCATGTTTAAAAATCTGTGCTTATGCGGAATTAACATTGAAAAAGTAACTTTGTTTTTTAATTAGTAAATTAAAGTAGTACAGATTTAGATTTTACCACACTTAGAAAAAAGTAGACATTTGCTAAAGCTAATGAACTGTTGCTTTTATTTATTCTGTTCCTCTAAATAAGGCATTACCATTATTTAAAGCAACTTTAAAAATCCGTTTTGAGTTACATTCATGTTTATAGATAGATTCAGATAATATTTACTTAGTGGTTTACCCTTGCACTTCTGGTGGTTTTAAATAGGCTTTTGTCATTAAAACCCAGCATGGCATTTTAAAAAATTTGCTCCATGTGCTATATATAGTTTAGTATGATTTTGGTACTCTTTTAAATCATTCTTAGAGAACTCGTATGAGTTGTTCTGCTAAAATATCTATTGTTAGATAGTTTTATAAGAAAAAAATTGGGTAATAAAAATGTAAAAATTGTAGTTCTTGTAAAAATTAGGAGTTCAGTAATTAAACCACAAATTGATGTACTTATTTCAGAGTATAATTTTCCTTTAAAAAAAAAAAGAAAAATTTCCTTTTATTGACCTGTAGGTTTTTTTTTCCTACGAAGTGTTCTAAGATTATTTTAGTGTTACTGTTACCATATTAACAGATAAAATGTTTATAAACAAGACATTTAGCCAGTAACTATTTCTACTTCAGATAAGTATACATAAATCAGGTATAAAATATAACATTTTAAGAAAGAAAGAACCTGAAAGTAGGGAACTTTTTTGATTGCTGATCTTAAAAAAAAAAAAAAAATTAGCCATTCCCAAGACTTGGAGTCTTGGAGAATCCTTTTAGGCATCAATTATACGAAGGGGTTCCAGAAAGTTCATGGGAAAAGGCCATTATCTTTCAACTCCCATTTTTATGCACACTTTGTGAAGCCCCTCGCTTTACTGGTTATGCCTTATTAGCTGAATGGATGTGGTCGACCTTTTAAAATGAACGTGGTTGCAGAAGTAGGCTTTTGTTTTTCTTCTATCTACTAAAATTAAATGATTCATTTGTGGGGCGGGGGTTATCAAAATTGTTTACATCACAAGGAGACTTAGTAATAGGATAGGGAACTCATTAAGGAACAAATTTCAATTCGCACATATTTGTTTTGTTTTGTTTTTTTCTTTTTTTGGACTAATTTGGTTATTTGCCATTTCTGGGGATTAAACTTTAAAAAATGTTCTTCTTTTCTGTATCTGATGTTCTGTGTGCTATTAGTGATGCAGCCAACACGAACGGTTGTCATGTGTAACACAACTTTCGATCACCGCGAAAACACCGTCCTGGGAAAGCGTCCATGCTTGATATCGTTTGGTTCATGAACATTAAGTTTCCAGTACAGGTGACCCATAGCTCAAAGTGTTAAATAATTGTCTACATTATTCAGTTTTTAAAATAATATTCCATTAATGAGATTGTTAGTCTTTGAAGTTTTGCTCACTTTTTATTTTTCCTAGTAGAGCAGGATAAAAGGAAAGACTTAAGTTCTTATTTATTTCTTTATATGGATAGATTCATTTATTATTATTATTTTTTAAGTGCAAGGGTAATTGTAAAATCATAGTGTAAAGTTTGTGTGGTGTGTCTGCTTTCTGTAATGTTGGAAATTTGCCTCTGCAGGTAAAATCCCAGAGGAATCCAAAGCTCTTTCTTTGTTGGCTCCTGCTCCAACCATGACAAGTCTGATGCCTGGTGCAGGGTTGCTACCTATACCGACCCCAAGCCCTCTGACTACAGTAAGTATTATAGAAGAGACAGTGTTCAACTATGCAGGTAGTTGAATAAAGATCTTAGAAAACAGTTTCCAATATGGATCCTTTTTGTTGTTGTTGTAATGGAGAGCATTTGGATCCTACTTAAATCCCCACCCCCTTCAGTATCACTGGATTTAAGCTCCCTTTTTGAATTATTCATGAAGCAATTGGGTATCCATTTAAATTTGAAAATGCAACAGTTGGTTAGAAAATCACTTGTTAAAACTTGGCTTTTTCAATGGCATGGGGAATTGGAGGTTCTATGTAACTGAATTTCTCGGTTCACAAGGACTAATTTTCTCCAAAAGACATGAAATGATCTGCAGTCTTGATAAAGGGACTGTGACATGGGAAAAATATAACAAGGACAAAATATTTTTAATTAACCAAGAGGCATAATGCTTTGTGATTTTCAAGTGGTATAAACAACAAAAACAAGATTTTACTATTATCGGACCCCTTGTGTTTTTGTTTAAGAGATTCTGATTTTTTTTCTCTCTTCTCCCTGCCCCCCTCTGATCATATTTATAAACTGACCTTAATTGGAAGTTAAATCTCGATTCGTGTTGCTAGAGAGGTAGGGATTACATATGCTATACGTTTGTTGTTAATTTAGTTAAGTAATACAAATGGTTTTGAAACTTTGTAAAACAAAATTTAAAGGTTTCTAACTTTGTTACATCGTTTCAATTTGTTTGAAACATTTGAAAGATGCTTTATTTTTATGTACAAAAAATCAGACTCATTACTTTTGAGTAGGAATTCTCTGGAAATCTTGCTTTGTGTATATTTTCTGTATTTTATCATACAGGGTCATCACGTTTTTAAAATCACCATAGAAAAGATTTTGCTCCATTGAAAATTCTTAGCATTTATTTGACAGCAATGTAAACATTTATTTTTGTCTTGAGGGAAAATGGCTTCTTCTTGGTTTAGCTGCAACACCTCTTATTATAAAACTTGAGTTATAAAGGGTAATTTCAGTTAGGAAAAAGCAGGTTGCCCATAATCATCTGGCCTTTGATTATCTCCTTTTTCTACCCCTCTTCTTTTGGCTTACTCTATTTGATCCATATTGGCCTTTGTTGTTCCTTGAATATGCCATGGATTTTCTGCCTTGGGACTTTTGGATTTCT